TTGGTTGTAATAAATAACGTGCAAAATAAAGAAGTATTTAAACTTGGCTTTTTTTTGAAAAGCAGTCTTGACCGGTGCTTTCAACGTTTTTTTTTTTGTTTCAGAACTCAAAACTTTTTTTTTCTGTTTTGTGAAGTGTTTCAAATTGCTCTGGCACTTTTTGTTCCAAGTCAACAATTCATTTTTGTAAACTGTATTATCTTGTATTACCAAAATTGTTCAGTTTGTGTTCAAGCTGACCTACTCTAGTGTCTTAATTGGACAGAAGGAGCATAAACATTGCCGTTTGAGTTTCCATTACTGTTTTTTTAGTTTCATTCGTATTAGCTGAACTGGCCGTTCTCAAATACTGTTCTAGCTGTAGTAACTAGAAGATTTGAGATTAAACATTCAGGTTAAAGCAGTTGCTATTATTGTCATAAACAGTTGCAACTGTCGTATCATCTGCCCAACTCTCAACGTTTATTAGAAAATCATAAAGCTAAAAGAGAAGAACAGAACGATGAACTACAGCGCGTGATCTATGGTGGCCTTGTGGGTACTATGAATACTGTAATATATCAACAACAGTACAACACCTCTCTTGGCAGAGGAAAAAGTATTACGAAAAATAAGCAAGTGCACATTGAAATAGCAGTCCCTGATCCAGTCAATAATGCGCGCACCCATTTTTAAAAAACAAACGTTCTCACTAATTCGACAAAGCACTGAACTAAACTTTTGTATGCTCTTTTACATTGAGAAAGTACAACAAAAGTCATCATTACGTTCAAAAAATCTATAGGATCGTCTGATCGTCTGCCAAAATCAATTCTGGGTCTCTTAGATCGCTTCGTATTTCTACTGATTGACGAATTGGAGCCTCGGAACTAGGCTGCCGCTTTGGAATTTCGTATTTGTTACCTGTAGTTTTAAAACAACGGCGTTTATTCGACAACAACTTACATGTCATTTACTACAGTTTGCTTCCGTGTTTCAGTGCACTCTTTACTGTTTGTATCATTGCTATGTTTCAACTAATTAGCGTATCGTACTACTTGCAACTGCAGTTCTAGAATAAAAATCGTATGTAATACCTCCGCCTTCCTAACAAAAATGGTAGCTTGTTTCCAATTCCGTTGACCGTTATAAGTTCGAATGTGTATTGAGTCAGCAACACGAAATTGCCCATTGACCACCCCATAATGTTGGTTAAACTGGGTCTTCACTTTGCCGTTAAACTTGAGGTGTCATGAACACATCCTGGCTAGAATTGCTGCAGCAACAAATCCATGTTGAAAGAAGCTTGCGGTCTTGAAGTAACATGGCTAGGAAATTGTTAATAGCTGGATTTGTCTTATAACGACAATAAAACAAAGAGTTAGTAATGCGCTTCATCTCTGAAGTTGAACCCATTTTTAGAAGCGTGTTGCCAAAGCATTGCTTTAAGGCGGTAAGGGGTGAGAAGATATGTTCAATGCTTTTCTGAACCCATAACGTACTGAATTAAGATGACTGAAATGGCTGCCCATTATCTAATATTGAAGACTTTGGAATTGCGAGTCGTCAGTTCTTGGCTACGGTACAGCAAAGCTTTTCGGGACGTGTTTCGGATGCCGCTGCAGGAATCACAGTTTCGCACGCAGATCTCAACGTCCTCATCCGTCTTGGAGCAGTAACATTGCTGTGGCTACTCTGATTTCATTATTTGAATTCCAGAAAGATGAGAATGCAAAATCCTCACGTATTTTAAATGAAACAGTAATGCACAAGTTCCAAAAACTTTAACCATTAATTAATAAAAGAAGAGCCTCTTAGGAAATAAAGAGAACTATAGCAAAACCTACTTTATTTAGCAGGTTTTTTTTGTGTATTGTTTTACCAACCCAAAGTTTTTGTCTTGTGACGTGGCATTTGCAACTTTCACCGGTGAAATTGGTAATGATTCAAAAAACTCAGCGTATACACCTGGTCATTCTGATGGTCTTCAAGAGCATGTAATTTGTAAAAAACGTTATCGGACTTTCTTGGCAGTCTTGAAAGGGCATCTAAATACTTGCAATATTTTGTGGAACAGTAGCGAATACGGCGTGCATAATTTGTGAGGAACGATGCCTATTGCTGTAATATGAATCGCCACTAGCAAAGGGACGCTTGAGCTAGAAATCGTTCTTTGAAGCTGATGATTAAAAAGCACTGTAAACTCCTCGCAAATACTGATATTTATCTTAAAAACTATACTCAGCGCTTCTCTCTCTATTTGTGAACAATTACGTTCGGCAGGCGTAAAAGGTTTTAACGCGTTTGCAATTACTTTTTCGGCCCAGTTACCCAAACAGTGAAATAAGAAAGCACCTAATCTGACACCAGAAGCATCTAACGCAAGAAGAAGGGGCTGGTCTGACCGGAAATGCATTAGGGAAAGAGAAAACACCAGAATACATTTGATGATACGTCGAAAAAATTCTTGACGCTTGTCAGAACATACAAACGACACATCTTTCTACGACAATTTCTCAAAGAAACTTCATATACAATCGAGGAATGAATTTTGCATATTGCTTTAAAAATTCAAAATAGGCAGGAACAAAAGAGACATCTGATGGTATTGGCATATATCGAATAGCTGTGATTTTTATAGGTCTGGTCTAAGACCCTCAGAGCCGACGACAAAGCCTAAATAGTTTACAGAAGATGAAGAATGTGATAACCGAGCAGGGACTTGGTGAATTTTTTTCAGGTGTTCTGTCTGACTTCTCCTCAAAGTCAGAATGTCGTCTAAATATGCAACAGCTCCAATCAACCCTCTCACTATTTGTGACACGGTTTTTTAGAAAATGGCTGTAGCCAGGCTTATTTCAAAAGGCAGACAAGTGCGTTAAAAAGGCTCATATACGAATTTATAATTAGTAATTTTTTTTGCATCATCTCCTTTAATATTAAAGAAAGTTTCTGAAAGGTCAGTGTGAGAAGATATAGTTTCTCTTTCTAAGG